GAACTTCGGACCGGGCGGTTCGGATTAAACTTCGATTAAGTTCGGCTTAGCCTTGAGACGGCCCATTATTCCACGGACTCGGCGACGGCCGTGGAAAAAGTGTTGCTCGATTACCGCGTTTAACCGGACAAAAGACAACGGAACTTCGAATCGACGACTGTACGTTCCTCGGAAAGTCCAATCGCAGTTGAAGTTGCATAATTCAGGGAGATCGGTCAAATACGTACGGAAAACGCGCGTGTCGAGGAACGGTGGCGCGATCGGAATTAGGCTGCGAGCGAGCAACAGCTCGGCGAAAACGTGCCGGGAACAGTTCGGGAAGTCCGCAGCCTCGGTTGGACGTTCGTTTCGACCCAGTTTCGCGAGTCACCGCGCCGAGAAAACGTTCGCGGGCCGATCTAACGATCGGCCGCTGTTAATTAATGCGGAACGGTGTACGGTTCGGCTGCTCCGGAAGATCGTAATCGCGTTATGGCAGAAGTGGCTGTATCCGGCGCTGCTTAGGTACACGTACCTAAATTAAATTACCTACAAGGAGATTGCGGGTAATTGGGAAAGGGACACCGTTGGGGAGTGGATGCGACCAAATGCATGCGTAATGCACTCCGCCGACCGCATAAATCACTCAAATGACTATCTCGATCTGGCGGGACCGGCTGGTTTGTCGGTTGAACAGGGGTGGAGGGCAGGGGGAGGGACGACGACGCTGCCGAATGGTCAATACTCGCGCGATCTCTATAGCCTGCGAACGGTGTCGCGCGCGAGCGTCGTTAATAAAATTTCCCACGGTTTCGAGCGAACGGAGCGGCCACGGATGAAACATCGATCGCGTCCCTCTAACCGCGACACACGCTGTCGCGCGCGCGTGTAAAGATATCCGGCAACGATTCGTCTTTCGCGTAATTGTCACGCGTCCGACGAACGCGGAACGCTTCCGATCGTTTGCGGAAGAGTCGTTCGACGCGCGGAAGGGTTTTGACGGAGGCGGGACGCGATACGACCGATCGGCCTGGAAAACAGAGGATTAAGGGGGAACAACAACTAGAGACGTGACGAACGTAGGGAAATTTTGGTTTGATGTTTTAGTTCACCCTTTGCGGACGGATGTCGGCAGTTCGAGACGAAATCTTCAGATCTCGAAGATTAAGTTAGATGAATGATGTGATTAGTAGAATAGAGAGATCGTAGTTTTTTTTCTATTAATTAACCCTTTATAGGTTGGTGGCATATATAGATGCCACTTTTATTATGGGTTAAATTATAGGGATTTTTTTCATGATTTTGATCCTTATGGTGTTGCAGCAACGGTTGGTGACACAAATAGGTGGTATAAAATGAGGAATCTAGGAAAATTTCGAAAAAATATTCTTAATAATAATTGTTTTTTAAAGGAGTTGTAATATGTATACGGTAGGGAATACGAATTATCAAAAAAATAATTTGCCCTGTAAAGGGTTAAAAAATTGATGTATAACTTTGCTTCATATGTATTCGCTAGTTTGTGAACCTCTTTTCTTGAAACATCCTTTGTTAGTCGACTCGATTATCAACAACTGAAACATCCGAAGACATTTTCGTGGATTCGGAAATAGAAATTGTATTATATATAACTGCGCCATTTTGTACGATTTTGGCTTAGAAAAAATATAAAGCAGGTGACAGTACAGACTCAGAAGAAATTAGTGTTCACTTAATAGTAACACGTTCGCTAATAGCGTTACATATTTGTAACGGCCGTAATTCTATGGTTTACATAATGAAGATGAAATTCATCCTATAGATTTATTAGAAATTATAAACTACATTAAACGGTGATCCGTTTCTGTTTCATTTTCCTGATGTTCAGAAGATTTGGATCGAAGAAAATATAATTGAGGAGACCGTCATCGAGACGATACAAATTCCCAAAATTCACCTGTTCAACACGTCTCTAGGCGATGTCCTTAAATCATCGATACATGGATTCTCATTCGTGATTCGCGTTCTCTCTCTCTCTTTCTCTTAACATACATACACATTCGTACACACACTTTCTCCCTTCCATTTCTCTCGAACAAGCGTCCATACGTGCCAGCGCGATGCTTTTGTTCGCTCGGCCACTTCTCGACAAGTGCGAGCGGAAAGTTAGGGTGAGAAGAAAACAGAGTGAGAGACAGAGACAGCGGAGTGGTGAGAAAAAGACGAATGGATAGGGAATGTATCGGGGACGACTCGAAGGAGCGGAACGGAGCGGACGGTGGGACGGTGCGTCGACAAGCACGCTACGCTGAGATTCGTGAGATTGAAAAACGATGTTGGTTAGGCGGCCGGTGGGGAAGGGAGGGGCAAACGCTTGCAGAACACTTCAACTAACCACTAGATCGGAAACTAAGGGGAGCTTCGTTCATGCCAGACGGAAGTCCAGATCCTGCGGGGCTCTGGATCTTGCGTGGATATCTGAGAGGTATGCGTGTGACGCAGGCAGGTCCAACATGGCGTCCCGCGAGCTAACTTCCGCCAGCCAACCCTTCGTACTCGAGAGTTCTTCTCTAGAAATATTCGATATTTCCTGATCAGAAACTAATAAAAAAGCATAGATACTTCATGTATCGCTGGCGTTACAAAGCTTAACCCTTTGAGGACGAACCTTTCATATTTAGAATACGAAGTGAACAAACAGGATTCATTGAAATAAAGTGATTTAATAACCAGTGATTAGTTTACTCTTATTTAGGAATTTCTTATACAATTTAACATTGAGCGCCGGCGACTTAGACATTTAAAGCCTGGCCACTTAGCCCGAACGGCTTCATTCGCTTGTTGATCAATGAGTAGCCAACAAAAATATTCAAAACATACATTTTCGTAAAATTTAATTGCATATTCGTCGAATGTAGAAATGGAAATCCAGAAATCCGCATTATTGCCGGCGCTCAAGCGATAAATTCAGAATCCCGTGTTTTCACGGGGCCGTTCAATGTAAGTAATAGCAAAAACAGAAGCTACATGCTAATCTCTTGCTATCCGAGTAATTCAATCACTTGCCTGCGACTCAATGTGTTAACTTCCTCCGCGAAGTTTTCAATATTTCAGAAAATCCTCGTCAAAGGGTTAATGTTAGGCGACTCGAGGGCGAAGGGTTGAAATCCACGTCGCGTGATCGATCAATGTTTAGGCTAAGTACCGGAAGTGCTTCGTTATTCGTGACAGCCATATTCTCGTGCAGTTCATTCTCCGTTCAATCAGGAAACTCGCGATGTTTGCTTCCATCAGAGTCTTCCGAACAGCTCGAGCTCGCGAAAGCCCTGCTTGGACGTGCCTGTGACAACGGCCATTCGAGTCTCGAAAGTGAAACTCAGCCTACTACATCGTACAACGAGCGGTCAAACATTCAAAAAAGGTCTTCTCTATCTCCCGTTCGAATCGTCGCAAACTTTCTCTCTCGCTAGAGAAGGCTCATGCTTCGCAACTTCTATCGAACGAAATCACGTCGCGACGAGAACGAAACGCTCGCACAGGACTCGACCCTTTCGCCCGTAGACCGTCGCGGTTCGTTTTTGAATGTTTCTTCCTCTTCGAACTGTCGATGGAAACGCTAGAGGAACGCGAGATAGATACTCGTGTACGTTCTCCTCACTGGCAACGAAACGAGAAGCAAGCGAGCATCTCCGAACGATCCCGAAAATTGCGGGATTAACCACTTGCGGTGGAAAGACGTGGCACGCACGAGATGCTTCTGTCACGGAAACGTCAATTTTCCGAATTGATTTGAAAAATATAATATGCAAGATTATTAACCCCTTGTACAGTGACGAGTGAGACTGATGCAGATTTCTAAACTAATTTAACTCTCTATGGGCCGAACTTTCTTCATGATTGTAACAAAATCTATGCAGTATAAAATTAATAAATATCAAGTAGTTTCAATAATTTCAAACGAATATATTTTGTAACTTTCAAGTTACAATGACGTTAAACTCTTATGCCTGAGCGTAAAAAAGTTGAAGTTGACTGATTACTTTCTTTTATTCACCACTTCCAGTGCAAAATGAAATAAAGCAACAAGATGCCAATATACTGATAGGTGACTTTAAAGTTACACGGGCCTACAGAGGGTTAAATCAATTTGCAGTCTAATCATTATTAGCGAAGGTTATTCGTTTACATTGGAAAATGAAAATTGCATCATAAAGAGTAACATATAATTTATAAATAATAGTGTACGCGATCATAGTTCTTTTTTCCTCCACATTGCTTCCGATCAATTTAAAATTAATTTACTGTAGTTAGGGTACACAGAAATATATATATATGACTGTTCGGATTAAGTGTACATATAAAACTATTTTATATACGTACATGTAATTGAATGCTTGTACGATTGCGTACAAGCTATTTATTTATTTATTTATTTTGCTATTATCAATGTATTATCTTCAAATGAAATTTCCGTAATTACGAAATTACAAACTGTCGATAGTAAAATATTACACGAGCTTAGTAAAATAAATAGTACGCAGGGGTTAATAAACAAATTTATTTATACATGCGTAATTTCATCAGCAGTTGATGAATTTTCATATTCTCTTCCGGAACACGTCGAACTCCGTGCAGTCGCAGTTACAGTTGACAGTCCCGGCAACCGTGAATTTCTCTCCACCGCGAGCGGTTAAAGATCGCGCGTGAAACGGCGAAACGGGAAGCGGATCATAGAAAGAGATATTAAAATTCCTGCGAAGCTTTCGTAAGCGGTGTAGCAACGTGCCGTGGTCGTCCGCTTCGAAAGGGCGTCCTTGTGCAGTGTCGTTCGTGCGTTCGCGCGAGTATTTCGGATGAACGAGGAGAGACATATCGGGATGAGTGTGAGGGGAATAAAATCAAGTCCGAGGGACGTCGCTCAGCGACATCGTTCTCTACTCAGCGAGAACAGTCATCGTTCTTTCTTTCTTTCTTTCTTTCTTTCTTTTTTTTTCTATCTCTCTCTCTTGTCTTTTCGTTCTCTTTCTATCAACTTATCTGACCTGAAGCGTGTACTGTGGTCCGTGGTGTTGGCCATGGTGGTGATGATGCCTGTGATAGTGTTGCTGCTGGTGCGGGGGATCGTGCTGATAGCACTCCTGTTGGTACTGCTGCGACGGAACGGGCTTCAGAACGTGATTGGGTCGTTTCTCCGAGGCGTACTGCTGGCCGCCGCGTTCCATCGTGTCCACGGCCAACCGAGGATCCTCGATCATCGTGTTCGAGGCCTTCGTGCTGAAACAGAGACCGGCCCGTCCGCCTCGTGTCCAATTGATTCCGGCGAGTACCCTTTTTCTTCCGCGTCTCGCCCGATCTCGCGGCACGCGTTTCCATAAATCACGGGACGAGCAACGATCGACGGCTCCCGCTCGCGGACGTGAGCAGAAATAACGAGGCGACTCGCATTTTCCTTCGCGGAGCTACACGCGACTCTCCATCTTCCCTTCGATCGTTTGCGCCAGCGGAATCGGCTCGTTTCGCTACGCCGCGGTTTCCAACTTGGGAGGCGCGGACTATTGCCGGGAGGCGCCAGAATTTTTAACCCCTTGCCCTATGATTTTTCAACTCTGATCGATACGGCTACTTTGTCATTAATAATTTATTGGAATAAGAGAAAAATTCTAAGCATACGTTATGCCTATATTTCCTTTTAAGTATAATAGTTGATTACAGAGGAATAATATTTACTTCGAATTCGAATTAACTGAGTAATATATACATTTATATAAAATTTCAAACTGACTTCTCCTAATTAACCCTTTGGCCTATGATTATTATATGTGTTAACCCTTTGCACTCGGATGTTTTTCACTAGAAATATTAACATCTTTGACGAGGCGAAGATTCTTTGAGATTATCTCGAGGGGACATTACAAGTATATTGAGAAACGAAGCTACTCTATTCGAATATTTCACATATCAAGGTATACAAAGTTCAATAAATATCAGATTTTATAGTTTATGTATGAAATCAAATGGTGAGAGTCACCTCTCAACCGCAAAGGATTAACCCTTTCAACAGAAACTAAATGATCTATCAATCGCTGAATCAATAGAAAAAAAGGAAACTGCAGATCTCTAGATATTCGAGTAATCAACTCCCTCGTTTCCGGCGTGGTCTTCCAAATACGAACATTTCATCTAAAAATATCAGCAGTCGTGCGCAAAGGGTTAAAAGATACAGGAAACGCCGTAGAAAAATTCCCAAGAAGGCGTAGAAGCATAAAGGTTGGAAACCGCTGCACGGTGAACCTTCGATAATTGCGACACGAATCATCCGAAACGTTGCACTCGCTCGCGAGTGTTACGCCGCGAGTCTCCAAGGTTCACCGTAAACGTTTTTGCAGCTGCCGCGCGAGAAAGTGCCGTGCATTTCAATCCGGTTCCCCCGACGCCGTCGCGAAAGAGCTGACGAATTAGCGATCCCAATCCCGGCGACGGAAGAATAATTACTCCGCCTTTATTTCCCGCGGAAATCAACGAAAGCCGCCGCGTCGCGTGCTCGCCGGGCGGAGAGCGGGCGTTTCTGACCGCGCGAACGCAACTATTTCAGTGACTCAGCCGGAGCAGTGCTCGGTATTACTACTCGCGGACATGAGCAGGAATAACGAGCGCGCGGCGACTTGCTTTTTTCCCCGTACGTAACGACAGGTAAGTTCCCATCGATTTTCCATTTGCTTCCTGGCCCTCGGCTCTCCGGTCACGAAAAAACGGCGGCGAATCGATCGCGGCCGCGACACCGGTAATCACGGAATAATTCATTAAGTTCCGGCGGTCGGACGTTCGCCTCGGGAAGCTCGATTTCACGCGCGGATCGCGGCGACTTCGGCCGCGGAAGTCTTAACACCTTGCCGGCCGCTCATTTCTCGCATCGCATATTTATACAATTGTTCGCAACATAGTTGCGATGATACGAGGTGTGTAAATTAAGTAACGAGACTGATTTTCCAGTGTTCGATCTAGCGATACTGGGAACACGGCACGCGGAGGGTAGGCGAGTAAACATCTGATACGCGCCCAGTATGAGTTTCAACGCGCTGGAGTTGTTGCGCTGTCCGTAGTGAATTTTTTTGTGAGAAAGGTTGTTTTAGTAAAAACGAGTGACATCAATTTTGAACAACGTTGTGCTATCGGGTTCTGCTGCAGACTTGGACACAGTGCGACGGAAACGTTTAAAGAACTGCGTAAGGACTGTGGAGACAGTGTTTTGTCGAGAGCCCAGGTTTTTAGGTGGTGTAAGGCATTTTCAGAAGGAAGAGAAGCGATTGAAAACGAGCCTCGCAGCGGAAGGCCTTCGTCTTCAAGGAGATATGAAAATGTTGGCAGAATCCGCGATCTTGAGCTCAGCTATCAGTCAATCAGTCATTTAGTCCCAACATTGGGTGAGAATCAGTTGAGAATCAGCTCAGCTATCAGTCAGTCAGTCATTTAGTCCCAACATTGGGTGAGAATCAGTTGAGAATCAGCTCAGCTTCAATCAGACTCAGTTGAGGATCAGCTCAGCTATCAGTCAATTAGTCATTTAGTCCCAACATTGGGTGAGAATCAGCTCAGCTTCAATCAGACTCAGTTGAGAATCAGCCCAGCTATCAGTCGATCAGTCATTTAGTCCCAACATTGGGTGGTCCTTCGAAAAACTCAGCATATACTCAAAAGTGCTCGTGACAATCGGAGTACTTTACACCATGTGACTTTTTTCTGTTCGCAAGATTGAAAAATCACCTCAAGGAACGTCATTTTGGACATTGGAAAATATTCAAAAGGTCGTAACCGACGAACTGAAGGATATTCCAGTGTCCGAGTGCCAGCACTGCTAGGAATAGAAGAATCGTCTCCTGTGTGGCTTCCCAAGGTAGTTACTTTGAAGGAGACAATGTGAACTTGTAATTTTATTTCAATCAGAAAATTAGAAAAAATCAGTCTCTTAATTTACACACCTCGTATCTATACGAACGTCGATATCAGGCATCATCGTTGGCGAAAAAAATTCACGCGAGCGTGACAGCGGCAACGCGTTAAGCGTCTCGCTTACCAATGCACTTGCTGGAGAGCGGGCACCGTGTTCCTGGCGACGCAGCATCTGTCCGAGCGTAGGAAGCAAACGAATCCCATTATCAGGACGGAGAGCACCGTGAACCCGGCGACGGCGCCGATAACGAGCGGGATCTGTAACAAACAGGGCGGCAGGGTAAACAAGCTTTTTACGCGCGACCACGCCGACGGTGAGCGAGCGTGCTTGCGCGCGCGCGCGTCGAATACTTATACTTTAATTAAATATCGACTGGGGGAACTGTTTCCCGTTGTGTAATTGGGCCGTCGATTACCTGGAGCGGCACGCGGGATCCGTTCGCTCGGAACATCGCAAACATTTGAACGAATCTCCGGACCGCAATTCGCGAGAAATGTTATTGCAATATTTCTTTTTGTTTGTTACAGCGTTTCTATTTACCGTGTTCCTGCCGGGCCCGCGCTTGATTCGTTCAATTTATTCTTTTGCCGCTCTCCCATTTTTGTTTGCTCCGTTCCGTTACCTTCCCCCCGTTTCACTTCCTCTTTTTTCATTTCCATTGAATTATATTCAGTTCATGTTTAACGGCAACATCCGCCCGTCTTCCTCGCGTCTGTCCGAGGTGAATTCACGTTGCTTCGTTCCCTGGTTGTACGCGGCCTATTGGATTATCGTCCTTTGTTCTTACTTTCGCCGCTTCTTTAAGCCGTTTAACCTCCGCCGCGGATATTGCGCTCGCGCGGCGCGCAACTGGGACGAGATTATTATGATTGTTGTTATTCTAATTACCTGACCCGGTTCGTCGACTCTCAGCATCAGCGAGCGCCGATCGCTGCCGCGCTCGTTCTCCACGATTACATGGTACAGTCGCTGATCCTCCTTGACCGTGCTGGTCAGCTCCAGGACGGCCGTGTAGCAGTCCTCCACCGCTAATGGCTCCAGATCCAACGCCCGATACCTGGACTCGAGCACCTCGCCTGCGAATATTCGGCCGATGATTATTCCCCGGCGAACGATCGTGTTATTAACCCTTCGCACTCGGGAATCTTTCGTTGGGAATATTTAATGTTCGCCAATGAGTCGCGGACGACAGTTCTTCGGAACGAACTGAACGGGAGAATATACGGAAGTTAAGGAACAGTTATTGTTTCAATGTTCCACGTATTTAGGGATTACACGAAGCTTAACCCTTTGAACTCTGTAGGCTGTAATATCACGAGGAGTAATATTAGATATTTGAATGAATCTTAACAACTTGTCTTACGATTTATTACTTAACTATAATTGATACTACTTTATCCTTAATTCATTAGGAAAGGAAGCAATTCTAATGTTTATTCTATGTTTATGTTTATTACAAAGGTTAACGATTGATAATAGAGAACTAGTATTTAATTTACATTGAAAAAATGAAAGAACACTTAGACTTATCAAGTTTAAAACTTTCGTCACGTGTCTGTTACGATATTGTAGGTCAAGTAGTTAAAGAAACTACCCTATAATTATTCGATTTTTCACACGTTCAAATTTCGTACTAAGGAAAATAAGAGATCTAAAAAATTAGTTGCAGTTGCTGATAGATTACTAAACCATCTGGAGCGCTAAGGGTTAATATTGCGCGTGAAACTTAATTTTGGTACATTAACCCTTTGCGGACGAATGTCGACATTTCGACGAGATGAAGTTTTCATATTTCGAAGTCTAAGTCAACAAATAATTTAATTACTCGAATACCAAGAAATCAGCACGTAGTTTTATATTTTTCTATTCTTCAGGTAATTGATATAATTTAGCTTCATCTTGGTTTTGTACATTTCCGAGAATCTTCGTCCGCAAAGGGTTAAACTAAACGACGTCTGAGAATCACCTCTCGAGTGCAAAGGGTTAACGCGTTGAACGCGGCCAGGTTTGCGTGATTCGCTGGAGCAGGCAACAAACGCACCATCGAATTACTCGACGGATCGATTAGTTATCGTTTAGAATATTTATTCCCCGTCAAGTCGACTGCCGGTTACAATCGACGATCTCCACGTTCAACGCGTTAACGAGCGTCTTCTGGAATAGATTCAACGACGCGCAAACCGAACCATAAATCGAAACCTCGATCGCCGCTCTCTCAGAACGTTCACAGTGATCTCTCGGTGGTTGAACCGTCGACACTCGCGAACCTCCGACCGGCATCGCTTACGGCCGTGATGGAGTTAACGAGTGGAAGGACAAACTGTAACCCGTGATACCGTCGCCCGAAAACTTTCGCTCCTCCGAGGCGATCGGAAGAAATCGGAGTGGAAAGTCGCGTTTGTCTGTGTGTACTCAGCGGGCAATTGAAGTTACGCCGATCCCCGGAGGATCGCGGGAAGGATCGAAGGGCCTCGACCCGCGGAACTTTTCGGGAGGAGCGGAGGCTCGAGGACGACGCGGGAAAAAGGCGGGTAATTAAAGAGGAAGCTCGCGGCTAAAGGGATGCTCGAATTAATTAATCGCGAGTGTACCACTTTTCAGCGATAAGGAGTGCCAATTAGTAGA